TTTGATGAATTTAAGGATTTATTATGAACAATTAAGTTTATGGTAGAGGTCCTGAGGAGACAAACGCTAAGAGCAGAAAATGAAAATGACTAATGTGGGTCAGTGAGATGGCCTCACAAGCAAAAGCTCTTGCTCCACGGGCCTGACCACCTGAATCTGCCCCCTGGACCACTTGGTGGAAAGAGGGAACTGACTCCTAGGGGCTGTCTTCTGATCCCCATATCTGCGTCATCACATGCACACACACACACACACACACACACACACACACACACACACACACACACACACACACAAATTACTATTTGGCATATCACTAAAATTATAATTCCAAAATTACATCCAAACCAAGTGCACTTCTTTTGTGATATAATCTTCACATTGAAAGAAGTTCTCTTAATCTGAGAGAACAGCCGGTTCCTTGAAGGTAATTTACTCAGGCAGAAGTTAGAGACAGTCATTTTGTATGGCGCCCCCTGTCGATGAACAGTGATCAGATCACAGGGCTCATCCCAGGAACATCACCCTTGATCAATGAAAGGAGAAGAGAGATGAGAGCTTTCTTGATTAGCTACCGTCACCTAAGAAGACTCCCACTTCTGGATCAGGACTCTATGAGTGTGATTAGGTTCCCAAAGGTGACCCACATGGAACCATCAGAGAACATCTGGGAAGTTCTAGGAAGAAGTTTGTATATGGCAAGATCTTGAGACAAGACACTAAGTGGCACCTACCTGAATCTTGTGCAAATTCTTAGTTCAAGTAAAAGGTAAGCTTACAGCATTCAATTTTGATTCCAAAGATGTGTCTGATACAATTAGGTTTGATGTACAATGGCCTAAATATGATTTTTTTTGTTACCGTGTTTCAAGTTGGCCTTGAACTCACAATCTACTGATTCAGCCCCTCAAGGACTGCGGTTACAAGCACAGGGCACTATGCCTGATCTCCAAAAACAACATTTTAAAAGCATCATTCATTCATTCTCTCATGCATTCATTCTTCCAGTCACAAGTTCATTCTCATACATTTATTGAGCATCAACTGCATACCAGTCTCATACTTGGACAAGTAAATGCTTCCTTCCCTTCTTCTGCTCCGTTTGGGAGCATTGGACATGAATGGATGATTAAAGTACTAAGCTGCAATATGAAATCCTTTACAAAAGAGAAGATAGGATGACAAACCCACCACTCACAGAAATCAAGATCATTTCCTAGAAGAAGGGGCATTTAGTTAAAGCTCAAAGTCACAGAGAATGTGAAATATAGGGAGAGAGAGAGAAGGAAAGAGACAGACAGACAGACAGAGAAACAGTGACAGGGACACAGACAGAGACAGGGACACACAGAGAGAGACAGAGAGACAGAGAGAGTGAGTGTGTGTTAAGGGAGAATGGCAGTTCCTCTGGAATATAGACAGGATATGTTCGCACAAGCTCAGGCAGATAAGCCAGATCCTACACGGTCTTACGGGCCAGAAGAAAGACTTGGATTTCAGCCTAAAGCCAGTAGGAAGGATGTTGAGTAGGGGAATCAAACGATCAGATCTGCCTACTTTTAGCATGCATTGACATGTAAATACAAGCAGCATAAACTCATAAGTACCGTGCAGATATTAAACAAGCAGATAGCCTGGAATTGCCTTGTAAGGTGTGCTGATGGTGTGAGTGTGGTGTAGGGAGCCTGGAGTCTGGGAAGGAGGCAGAGTTCACCTTTTTGTTTGTTTTTTAGGAACTAGCTAGTTGTCTGATTTGATGCCAAGGTAGTGCTTAGGAAAGCCAGAATAAAATCCCCATCTAAATCCATCCCTGTCTTCCAACACTTCAAAAGAAAAGGTCTTTTTGAGACTATAGTCTCTGTGGGGGGTGTTAGGGACCACCTACAGGTGTGATTTGAGAGCCCCTCCACCCCCATCCCACCTCCACCACCCGCTCCCAGTCAGTGTAAACTTTCTCGGTCCTGCTCCAGTGCCCCCAAACCTACCATCCTCACTCTGTGACTTTGAACTTCCAACTGCCAACCGCACTAGAAAAGGGTAACTCGCTGGTCTGCCCTGCCTTCTTAGGACCCAGTGGATGGGATTGAATTGTCTCAGGGATGGTGGACTCCAAAGAAATTCTGAGACCCCTGACTGTGCAGAAACAGGGAGGGGCTGTGAAATGGGGAACACCAGAGAAGGTGAGAGTCAAAGCACCCCATTTCCTTTATTCTGACTTCCTCGGGTCTGCTGATGGATACATGCAGTGGACTTTGTATGTAAAAGTATATGGACTTATACAGTAAAGATCCATGAATAGACTCACGGTACATACAGGATTTTGTAACATGAAAACTCGAGTTCAAGTCAAACGTTTTATAGCTCTGGAAACATTATATCACCTCCCACCTAGAGTGGCTGGAAGACCCAATGAGACAATTTGCTTAAAGTTTTCTCCCTGGTGTTGGGCACACATCAGATTACCTATAGCATTTCTATTATTGTTTTACATAGTCCATGTTTACATATACATGCTTCTTGTACAAGCCCGTGTGTGCATGTATGTGCAGATGAAGGTATGTCAGGGAGATAGAATGTGTTTAAGAAGCAGAGAAGGAAGGAACACTGTGAAACTCTGCTATAGAAGTGCTAGTGTTGGCGTGTATTTTCTAGAAGGCAAGGGGACTGCAGGGCCGTTCACAGAGGATTCGAGTGGAAAGGAGGGTGAAGAATCAGCAGAGAGCTTCAGACTGCCCTCGTGGGCAGACACGGCAAAGCTGAATGGGATGGGATGCTGTTGGAGCTCAAAGTGGGGTTTGGAAAAGAGTTCTCTGAAGTGGACACGTGTGGGAATGTCCTGAGACGTTATGGCCTGAGATCAGAAGAGAAGACTGCACGTCCTCCTTCCAGACATCTCCTTTATTCTGAGCTTCATGCAAGTTTGATTTTTTTTTTTTGAACTGACGTGGAAGAACACAAGAAAGACAAATGCCTGAAGGCTTCTTGATTCCCTCTTAAGATTTCCCCAGGAGTTGTGTCTAAGTGATTTCCTGTGATAAAGAATTATTGTCAGGTAGGGTATTTAGATCAGTGGAAAAGTCCTTGCTAGCAAGTATGAGTCCCTAGGTTCAATCCCCTGCTCCACACCTCCCCCTCAAAGAATTGTTATCCCTCTGCTTAAACGTAAGAGGATTCAATAGACAGATAGACAGAAAGAGGATAGGGAACAAAAAGAAAAGAAAAAAGAAAGGGAAATTGATTTGTATTTGGGGTGGGGGACAGATTCTCACAATACAGCCCAGGGTGACCTCAAAATCATGATCCTCCTGCCTCTGCATTCCCAGTAAAGTAATGATTACAGGCGTGGACCACACACCCAGCCAGAAGATACTGGAAGGAGGAGGCTATGGTGGTGGAGGAGGAAAGAAGGAGGAGGTGGTGGAGAGGAGGGAAAGGAGGAGAGGGAGGAGGAAGAGAGACGGAGGGGGAAAGAAAGAAGAAGATCCAGTTTCTAGTTGCAGCGTTACCCTCACTCACCAGGCAACTTGAGAGAATCTCTTGATCTCTCTGGGCACAGCTGCCTCATCTGCAAGGCATGCTGATTGGTCAATCTGGGTCATTATCTCCTGACTTCTTGCCATCCTTGCCATCCCCGATGAGGTTGGGTGTCCTCAAACCCTCTCTTCTCTGAAAGCCTACTCACTCCACAGCACAGTAGTTAAGAGCACAGACCACCTGCCTTCCTTCTGATGACACTGGTCGGTCAGATGACCTGCCTCCCTGTCCATCTCAGAGTCCTCATCTGGGCGGCTAAGGTAAACGGTAGTGGTGTCCTCAAGTCGGTAAAAGGGTTAAGCAGGCAAGTGCAGGTAAAGTGTTTAGAATAGTAGCTGATACACACAGGGGGCCACCCTGCTGTTCTGCAATGTCATCACCTACCTGTTCAATTGGACTGCTTTGCAACTTCACATGAACACATTATTGATGAATTAAAAAATGGAGCTTTAGCGTCATTTACGGGGTGTGGAATGACTACAGGAACTAGCAGAGGAGATCTGGGATCATTCCTTTTGCCTTTTTAAAAGATCTTCCTGTGCTCCAATTTTCAAAGTATGGGCACCCACACCCCACTCTTTTTTTTTTTTTAATTTGGAGGAGACTGAGCCAAAGATTACTGAAGCCTCTCTCGTCTCAACATTCAAGGAGTGATTATCGCTTTTAAGACCAGTATTTTACAAGAGGCTACCTTATCTTTGAACCACAGCTATCATTAGTATGTTTGACCTTCTCAGAAAATTCTCATAAAAGTTTAAAAATAAGCATGACCCCTTGGCATGTTTCTTACTAAGCAACTTTAAGCTGCTCAAATTCGGGGAGAAAATGGCAAAAGTGGGTCCACAAACTGTTCGCTGCTTGGTCCTATCTGCTGTGACATCAAGGATGGATCAGCCCCCGTGTGGGGGCTGGCAGGCAGCGGCTGGCAGTGACAGTGTTAACAGCGTTGGGTAAGGTGATCCCTTGAAACGGGAAGGACTTTGTGGAAGTTTTCAAAGCTTGGCAGCTGGGCTGCCCAGCCCTTCGGAGGAAAAGAGGCTGGCCGGTTAGAAGGAGCAGCCCCCTTGAGCCCAGAAAGGGGCTAGCACATTGCAACTGAAATTATAGGCACAAGGTTAGTGGTCCCATGCACCTCTCCAGCGCGCTGACAACTTTGGAGAAGAGGCCCCCACCCCCACCCCGACCCCCGCACCGCGCACTGTCTCTGTTCAGCGCACCTCACTTCTGCTCTGCCAGCTGCTGGGGGCCACCGACCCTCCTGCCAAGCCCACCCGGGGTGTCGGCGGTCCCTGGAGCCTGGGCGTGGCTGACTTGTACCCGGGAGACCTCTCAAAACCGGAAACTTGGTTCTCAGGCATCCGAAATGAAACTGTTTCTAAAGGCAGGATTGTTTTCGGACCACACACACACACACACACACACACACACACACACACACACACACACACACACACACCCTGCCCGTTCACGCTGTTTCCTCTGGGTTTCTGTAGGCTGTGACCACAAGCCTGAATTCCTTTCTGCTGCAGTGAAAGCCGGCCAGTACAGTTGTCAAAGCAGCTAAACAGGCCACAGGACTTCACCTGGTAGGAGGAAGAATGTCTCTGGTGCTACACTAATCTGGGGTGGAGGAAGGCATGGAGGGAAGGAGAGGGGAGAAGGGAGAGGGACAGGGGACAGAGTTAAGGCAAAACAATATTGGGGAGTAGGGATTTTTCTTGTATATTGCTCGAACAAAATAGTGGAGGAAAAGCTACTGGAGGGAGAGAAGTCTACATCTGCATGGGAGTCGATAAACACTTCCCTAAGCTCATTTGCTGTGCTGCAGAGAGGAAGACAAGCCGATGGGGGGAGGGGGGAGGTAGGTGGATATCCTCACAGAAACTGTATTGTCAGGGCCTTAGTCTAAGCTAAGATTGACTGTGCTCCAGGCAGGAGAAAGCACCCCTCCAGTCCTTCCAGCAGGGAAGTAGCTCCCGCCTCAGCCGGCCGGCGATTTTCTCTCCTTGCTGGGGCCCTCCACTCAGAGGCAATGAGCATTCACTGTGCAGAACTAACTCCCTCTGATCCCTGCAACAGGCACAAGTCTTCTAACCTGCAAGACTGAATCAGAATGAGTCACTTGAAGCTCCCGGAACAAAGTACTTGCAGCTGCCTCTCAAGACACTGCCTCCATGTAGGTGGGACACACCTCTCAGGGCAGTCACATTTTTTTTTTCCTCCTTCCTTCAAACAGGCAGGGAATTCTGATGCTCCCAAAAGACTGGCTCTACCCGCTCAGCTCGCAGCTGCCCCTACAATGTGAATCCTGCTTCTCCAGCTCGGGACTGGAGTTTTAAAATAAAATGGATGATTTGACGTTACTTGATCTCCTGGAGTGCCCTGTGTGCTTTGAAAAGCTCGATGTCACAGCCAAAGTCCTGCCCTGCCAGCACACCTTCTGTAAACCATGTCTACAGAGGATTTTCAAGGCCCACAAGGAGCTGAGGTGCCCGGAATGCAGGACCCTGGTGTTCTGCAGCATCGAGGCTCTGCCAGCCAACCTGTTGCTGGTCCGTCTGCTGGATGGTGTGCGCTCGGGACAGAACTCCTGGAAAGGGGGTTCTTTTCGCAGGCCTCGAATACTGACCTTGCAAGACAACAGGAAAACCAAGACCAGCCCCAGAAGTCTACAGGCCAGCCCTTTCCGGCTGGTGCCCAGTGTCAGGATCCACATGGATGGGGTAAGAGAAAAGTTGCTTGCTATTACCATGTGCATTTGGAAGTTGGTTATGTGTATTCTGAGAGCTAGGGAACAGACTTCCTTCATGTAGACAGACTTCCAGCAGAGTGCAAGAGATGATTCCCCAGAAATCAGTTTACTGAGACACAATGGGAACTCCGAGCCTATCTAATCCATCCGACAGTTCATCTCAGAACTTCTAACACTTGCTGGATTCTCTTTAGTTTTTGTCTTGAGGGAGTTTAAGTGCTTGTAGATAATCCTTTTCTGGTCTTTCATATCTGTGGCTAAGGAACCAGACCAGTGTATGGGAAATGCCCTAGGGGTGAGGAATAAAGAAAATAAATTCAACTACAGGTTGCTTTTGAGATTTCGGAGAAGTTTCCCTATATCAGGTGTTGATTGAATTTTACCTAAGTCTGTCTTCCCATCCCTTGTCATAAAGTGCCATTGTGATGATAATCATTCATAATCTGTTCGAAGCTATAAGAGATACTTGACGCCCCAAATCACGCAAGAGGGAATTGTCTCTGTGAGTGGACTGATGGATGGCAAAGGGTACAATATATAATAGAACAGATGTGTATGGGAACACTGCCAATGTGTCTCTACAAAGTGAAGAGAACACACAAAATGCCTGCTGGGCAAGGGCTACAGTACAGACCCAGTCAAATGCATATATACTTTTGGATTACTGATTAAAGTTCCCCATGTTCCTCTGTCTATCCCTGATAGCACACCCCAAGAACTTGATCTGGGCTGCTGTGCAAGAGCACACCTCAGGAGGAGGACAAAGTCCTGTGAGTCCAGAGGGGTTGTTTGCATTGTCATCCCTGGTCTACCGGGACCAGAATGGACACAAAGCTATGGCTTAGATTGTTGGCATACTTAGGCAATCGAAGACTCATTCTTTGAAGTCCTGCCTAAAGCAAGCTTTAATGCTGGCAGCAGGGTCCCAAGACTGCTCTGAAGAGTAGCAGTGGGTGGGAGCATTCGGCGGCACTGGGCTCCCTCCTCACACGGAAAGGCTTGCAGTGTGCATTCACATCTGTTTCCTAAGGTTTTTCTTTGGAGAGTTCAGTCTCTTGGAGTTCACTGCACCTTTAAGCCACCCATGTGGTAGGGTTGTGTGTGAATATTCAAAAAAACGAGAGCGGGAAGTTGGCGTGGTTTCTTCGCTGAAGATTTTTTTTTATTGCTGTTGTGCTTTCTGTAACACATTCCAGAAAAGGGATGGGTGCTCACTCCTCTCTAGGTCTCCTCAATCAATCAGAATCCACAGGCCTGCAAAGGTAGAGTAGGGCGGAGAACAAACTTTATTCAAACCTGACTCGTTAAGAGAAAAGATGTCTGTCCCTGGGTTGGCAAATCACTCTTGAATTCCAAACACCTAGAAACCTCTTCTCTCCCCTTCCCTATAAATGTCTGTCTTACCTTTCAGGAGAGGGTCATCATTCACTAAGGGAATGTTGCCTGGAAGAAGGCAGGGCCCCATCAGCAGCTTTGCCTACTTCTGTTCAGGTGTTCATCTTCCCCATGTCGCTAAGGAAAGTGCGTGCACAGTTGCCCGGTGGGTACACCATACAAGATGCACAGAGTGCTTCTCCACAAGGGGGACTGAGAGCAGAAAATAGGAAGACGTTAAGATAGTGGGTGTCCTTGAATCTCTTCGTGGGGACTTGGAACGTGGGGCAAAGGAGACCGTGATAGGTCTGTGCCTAGTCACCAAACTGCCCTGGACCTAGGCCTGTCATCAGGGCTGAAGCGCAGACTCAAGTCCTTGAGGACTCATACTTTCAGAGAGAAGCCGGGTTAATAAACATGTTTCCCAAAGGGAGGAGCTGGCAGCCCACCACTATCATCCCATTCATTCATTTCTTCCTTTGAAGAGTTCATCTCATGCCTCTTGTCTCTTGATGGGGATATGAGCAAGCCCATTCCTGGATGTTAACACAGTGTCATTCTACAACTTGTTTCTGCTTGTAAAAATATAACTAGCTTTCCTGTAAGTATGAAACCAGCATGCCTTCCAGTTAAGGCATGGATGGTGCACTCTGAGAGTGGACTTGCAATATCAGTCAAATCCCCTGGAGTTATTTGCCCTTTCTGCCTCAGTTTATCCAACTGAGCCAACATTCAATAATATTTGCTCCCCTCATCCCTTCTCTAAGACACTGTGAAATTATCTTTGCAACATGCTGTATCACCATGGAAAACATCTGCCAGGGAAATGCAAAGCACCATCATTATCATTAATTTAAACGTACAGTATGACTTTGGGCAAGCCACTTAAGCTGGCTGGGTCTCAATTTAAAATTCTGTAAAATGGGAAAATGTATTATAAAATCCTAGAGCCACCTTGACACCTAACTAATTAATGTTTGCAAAGCACTCTGAGAGTCTTAGATGAAAGGCATTGGAAGATTGTTATCATAGTAAGTATCACTATTGGCTGTTTATTGTGCCCTGCCGTACATGAGGCATTCTGCAAAACACAGGAGTAATAGCCCTTGCAGGAAAGCGGAACAGGCATTGTTATTAAACATGAGTCTATGGTGAACCCAGACCGGAGTAATACTAACTCTAAGTACTCCCCTGAGCAGGGAAAATAATCTGTTGTTGTAGGGTACCATTTTGTAAAACACCTCTTTCATAGGCCTCCTTCACAGCCTGGCACGCTGAAGGAGTTCATTTTACTTCCTACCCACAAGCTTTTTAAGCCCAAAGTCTGTTCTGCTGGCCCAGGCTCATCCACCAAACAAGCTCATCAAGATCTCTTTGTTGGCTCGAAGAGGCCTGATGCCTGTTGTGCCAGCAAGTATGTTAGGGTGGAACCAATAGTCACACCTCGTGCTGCCAGCCCAAGAGAGAGAAAAATTAGCCCATTGTGCCTACACATCTAAATCCCTCCCAAGCTGATTGTGTAAAAAGAAAACTTGAGAAGTGGCTGCAGGCTTTTACAGCATGCAATTATTCCACGCAGATGGGGAGCTCTGGTGGGCTCCTTATGAAAAAAAAAATCCCTATGGTTCTTAGTCCAATGCAGCCAAGCCAAAGGAATTGGACAAGCCTTCAAAAGAATTATGAGTTGCCAAAGAGTTTATCTCTTTTCCTTCTCATTCTGTTTAATAATATTTCTGAATGAAGACAGGTAATAGAGGTTTTGAGAAATTAAGAATCCAAACCCTGAGTCTGCTCCTTCAATGGTTGTGTACTTTGACTGAGTCACTTAAACCTCGGGGCCTTCAATTCTCCATCAGCAAATTGAAGATAATAGTAGTACCTACCTCAGAGGGCTGTTGTGAGATATAAATGCAATGATTCATATCCATTAACTCTTAGTGCATTGACTGGCTTGCGTTGAATGCTCAATAAATATTAGCTGTGATTGTTGTTGAAGTGACTCAACACTTTCTACGCAAAATTAAACGCCCTCTCTCACCCCCTTGTGAATTAAGTGCCACCCCAAAATGGTTCTTGGTGCCCTGATTATCTGGCTTGTATGGTTTTCTTCCAAATGATCTATGGCCCATAATTCTGGAACGTGACTTCCCAGCTTGTGCTGGCTTTGAAGCTCCATTCCAGAACCCTTAGGAGCTATAAGCTGATGGGAGGAAGAAAGGTCACAAACTTCGCATCTCTGAATAGTTAAAAAAAAAAAAAAAAAACCTGATTAAATTTTTAAAACCATGCACAGAAAGCAAGTATCTGGCTAACCTCCCAAGTACCACTGATTCTTCATTAACTTGGCATTTTCTCTTGTCTCTGCCACTCTCTCTTCCCCATCACAACTGTCACCACCCTGGGTCTCTCAGGGCTGGACTTTCTCCCTGCATTGTTAAGCATGGTGGCAATCACACCCCATATCAGCGAGAACACACCTGCTGTCACCACACAGAGACCAGGTGGCTTTGTCATAGAAACTTATTCAGCTGCTGTTGCAAGCAACTGAGGAGCAAAAATGAGGTCAAAAAGCACCTAAGGGAGCTGAGGTCAGGCAGAAACCACAAGGTGGTGGAGCCCCTCTCTTGGGTCTCAGAAGTGTTCTAAGCAGTAATACAGATGGTGGGTTTTGCTAAATGCGCAAAGAGATTAAATCATTCCAGTCCCTAAAAAACAGCAGGCAGGTGACACCTGGGATGACCATATGTAGCAGGTAGAAAAATTCAGGTAGGTAGAGGCTGCAGCTGAGAAATCAGAAGACACGGGCGAGTCTCCAGCTCTACTCAGATTTGTTTGCGAAGAACTTTGGCAAAACATAGGGCCCCAAATGTCGCTGCTGTCATGCACCCTCAGTGCACCAATTCCTAGTTATAACCCACTCTCCCTTTCATTGCTAACTGTGTTCAAGGATTACTGCTCAAATGGAGCTGCCTTTGTTCTGGGGTTTAGTATTGGTCAGCTGTAAAGCCTTAGGCAGGTCACTTCACATCTGTCATCAGTTTCTGTACTGTAAAAGGGAGATAATAATGGCGTGCATACAGCGTAAGGTCACGATGAAGTTAAAATGTGATGATGCACATTGAGAGCTTAGCACAAGTGCCTGGTACCCAACAGGTGCTAAGCCATGTTAGCAACAGTAAATCATAAGGCGCCGCCATAGCAGTCTGCTGACAACAAGGCCCTCTAAAACAATCGAGCAAAGCTTAGGTGAGCTCACAGAGACTGAAGCAGCGAGCACAGGGTCTACATGGGTCTGCACCAGGTTCCTCTGCATAAATACTCAAGCTTTTAGTTTAGCACTTTTTCGGGACTCCTGAATGTGTAAACAAGTGGGTCTCTGATTCTTGTGCCTTCTCTTGGGGCTCTTTTATTCTTCTGTTGGCTTGGCTTGTCTAACTTTGATACGATGGTTTTCATTTTATCTTATTTTTTTTCAATTTGTCATGTTTTGTTGTTATCTCCCAGAAACCTGTTCTTTTCTAATGAGAGACAGAAAGGGAGTAGATCCAGATGAGAGAGGAGATGAGGAGCAACTGGGAGGAGTAGAGGGAGGGGAAA